GTACAGGACAGAAACCACACCAAACCAGTCAGAAGAGCTGCAGACTTCGTGAATTATTTTTTTTAATTAAAATCATTTAAAGCAATACGATTTTAGAGGTGTTTGTCCCCAAAACGGAATGAGTTGCGTATAATACCTACACACACACAAATAGCTGGCACAAAGGAAGTATTTTTCCAAAGGCAGTCAATGCTAAGTGAGCTTCAAAGCTCATTTAATTTGAACCTAAACCTGAGATGCAAACGTGCGCATCTTTACATATAGGCATTTATAAACAGGAGGGGAGGAGTATTTGTTCACGCTGCATCTCTCTTTGGAGCAAATGTGCTCCAGAATCACAAAATCATTAAGGCTGGAAGAGACCTCTAAGTTCATCAACTCCAATCATCAACCCAACAGCCCCAAGCCCATTAAACCATGTCCTGAAGTGCCACATCCACGCGCTTCTTGAACACCTCCAGCGATGGGGACTCCACCACCTCCCTGGGCAGCCCCTTCCAGTGCCTGACCACTCTTTCAGTAAAGAATTTTTCTTAATATCCAATCTAAACCTTGCCTGGAGCAACTTGAAGCCATTTCCTCCTGGTAAGGAGGAACAAGGAGGTGTGGTGTGCCTTGCTGATGCTCATGAACAAGGGCTCTGGGAATCAGGCACAGAACAAGCAAGACCACGGTGTAGGCACAAACTCCCCAAATCAGGACAGCCTAAGCAAGGGTAAGGCAAAACATTTTGAACATGGGGGTCCAAGAGAATGGAGGAGGATGAGTTTTGTCCCAAACCAGACTCAGAACCCACACATTTACAAAAGTGTATAAAATGCTACTCCAGTAAATTTCCCCAAAATATTAAATAGAATCACTATTAAATAACTTAGCTAACCAATTCCACATCATTTAGTCAACACAAGATGATAAATAATGCTCTTTCATTTAGGGAAATACTTTATATTTTCTTATGGGCAGAAAAAATATAATACCAAGAAAGCAAGACAGCAAAACAAACAAACCCTACCCACAACACAGCTCTTAAACCAGAAGGGTGAAGGTTCAGGTCCAGTTGAAATCTAGGAGTAGCAAATGCCTTTGGCCAAAAGTCCTCCATGAAGTTACTGACGCTACATGCCAGTTAAGATAATCTACAAACAAAGGTTTCAGCCAGGAAACCTTAGAGAAAATTATTGCTGCAGGAATAAAATGCAGGTATTTAACAACGGTGAAATTTAAGAAGTTTGGTTAAGTCATGCAAATATTGCTATTAAGTGAGGTACCAGTGTTTTATTTAAGTGAGAAAGTATAATATAAAGTTATTAGTTAAGCATCTGCTTTTCTGTAAGTCAAATCAGGTTGATGAAACAGCAGTGCTTTTTTTAAGCAAAGAGAGAGAACAAAACAAAAATAACATATGCAAGACAAATAATATTGTAATAGGCAAACCCTAGACTGCTGCATCTAAACCACACTTCACAGAACAGCTTCAGAGATATCTGATGGCAGGGGTTTCATCTCCAGCTAAAGGAAGCAGGGGATCCATAAATGGATCTCCACTAACTGATGTCTCAATATTAAACTCAAGAAGGTCACGTCTGTCAACACAAGCATCCAGAATAATTAATGAAAATCTGTTTAATTGCATGTGGAGCCCAGATCGTTGGAGAACAACAAAATAATGAGACGCACGTCCAACGTACAAACTGCCATAGTCATTTTTCATTGCTGATCAGGGTAGCTACCGCGCACAGCGTCTAAATGTCCAAATAATAGAGCAGGTTTTCATCTTTAATCTCTTTCACAACATTCCTTCAGCTGAATTTCATTAATGCTGGATCTTTGTAGCACCATTTTCTTTTCTGCAAATACCTATCAGTCTGTGTATCTCCATAATCAACTACAAGTTATCATGTTTTGAGAAAATTTAAAAGAGCTACTTAGTTCTCTCAGTTTTATTCTTCGTCCATTCTCTTTTGTCACCATATCAGAACTCTAAAGACACAGGACAGAATGTCCAAAACACTGGAAATTCCCACAATAAGTGACATGTGCACTTCAATTTCTTTCTCAAAGGGAGTCTTCCAAGTGCACTACAATTTTCTATAAAATTATTCTAATATTCAGAATGTATATATCCTGTACATTTGAGTAAGAAATTAAGAATATTCCCTAAGACTTCTATTTTCCAAATGAGTAACTTACGACTAAGAAAGACATCATATTGAAAATACAAACAAAAAAAGAAATGTGGAAAAATAGCTCACAACCCTATGGAATAGCACTAATTGTAATTGTACAGCATCTTAGTATTTGTTCTAAGACATCCCAATCTGCACTAGCTCATGACCCATGCTTCTGAACAGATCATTCTTCAGTGGCAATGCACACCACAGACACTGCAAATGAAGTAACTTTCTTCTTTAATATCAAACGGCCTTCTGTAAAGAAATTATTTTTAAAACTGAATTATTTTCTGCTATTATTATTTCTTGAAGCAATAGGCTTAAATTATATGAAAACCTTTCCATAAACTGTCTTTAATACATACTGAAATACTAGTGTAAACCAATCCCTAGAACAAAGGCTTCCTGAAGGACTAAGCTGTTAAAAAGGCAAGGATTACCAATATCTGAGCTGCACAGGACATTAATACTTTGTAAACATATTTTCATACTTGTACAAGTCAAGTCCTTGGGGAGTATACCTGGAACGTGGATTAAAAACATAATAAATGCAGTGTTCCCCATCTGTCTCTGCATGGGCAGTTTAAGTTGGCTGAGTTTACTTGTGTAGGCTCAGCAGCTTTTGAATGCACTGCACTGCTCCGAGGATAAGCCTGGGTCTCCCAACACTGGGTTTCTGTAACCTCAAACCTGAGAACTCCTGCATTGCACCACCCAGGACCATGCATACAGCCAGCCAATGGTAATAAACCAAATGTTCCCAAAACAGAATCAGTCCATCATGCTTGGATGCCATACTGAGTGCAAGCTTATTTTGTATTTTCACACCATGATCTGCCCAAAGTAATAAACCCTTGAAGTACAAGTCCACAGAGGAGAGACACCTGAAGGGGTTTTTTTTTACAGGAGACAACCTAGTTCTGGCTTACTTGTGCTGAATCCTGACTGACTCCATGTGGAGACACTTGGTAGTTCTCAAAAGACACCTAATTCCCTGTTTTTTCCAAGCTTTTCATTATCTAGGATACTCCATTCTATTATTACAGATAACAAACCTAACAAAATAAGAACGCAGGAAAAACTTTAGAAAACAGCCTACACTGCTTGTTTATTACGGATCAAAACTTCACTTTGTCGTCTCAGCACATAGAAGGGAGAACACTTTCTATTGCACTGCTAAAACAAAACTCATTTTACCCGTATCTATACAAAAAACCAGTATTTTAACTTCACCAGTTTGAAAAGAAAAACTCTTACCTCCTGTTTCTGAAAGCATACATTTCATCCACACAACTGCTGCCTTCTGACTTGCACACATGTGAACACTGAACTCTTTGGCTAGTCTAAAGCACCATGCACAAACGAGCCTAACGGTCCTCCCCTTACCATGTGTACATTCATTGAAACTGCACTTTCTCTGATCAAGTCAAAGCAGGTTAAAAAAATCTATTCATGTGCTTCGAGTGAATAAAACCTCAATCATTCCACACAGCACATATTACAATTGTTTAGAAACTACAATATGTAAAGAACACCTTTCAGAAATAAAAACCAAGCTATTGAAATGAATGGAATGTGTCACACAATTTAAATTCTTCCTGTTACTGAGACACTGTTGATTATGATGTAAGAAATTACATTAATAATTACCTCAGGATAGCGGCCACAAAAAGGAAGGTTGTGATCTGAATGCTACAAGTAGCACAGGTTAAAACCACCTCCATTAATTCTGGGATTCTTGATTTCAGTTTGGAAACAAGAAACAGTGAAGAAATACAGAAGGTTACACTATCAATCCTCACTCATGAGGATTTCAGAACCTCAGGTAAAGAGCTGTAATTTCATAAATGTTCCAACCTATTAAAAATATTCAGTCCTACAAAATTATTTTGTAGGTTTGGAATTTTACTCAGGAAAAATTTGTTTGCATGAAAAGCCATCACGTCTTCGCGAGAGTACAAGGAAACAGGGCACCTAACATTTGGGGTTTTATTACAATGTGAATAGCAAATACTTTCTACACCTCATCCAAGCTGCTGGGTGCAGAGGCAAGAGACCCTGAATAACATGGCTTTTTCATACCAGACAAAGCAATGAAAAGATACCTGATGACAGCAGATGCATGTGTTCAGACAACTGAGTTTTATGCAGTTGAGGCTGATCTATAACCAGTTAGAATCAGAGAAAAAAGTGTTTTGCCATTCTGTATTTGATGATGTATGGTGTTTCTCCAACTTTGAAATGCTAACACAAGAATACTGGAGAAATTAAATACAAGGATGCATTTCAAACCAGAAATAACAACATTGAAAAGGTTCAACACAATGAATGTAAGAGAACTGGTGAGGGAAGATGAAACTATTGACTTTTTGGCTGACCAGAACTACAAGTTCAAACAAAGGATCACAGTATGAATAAAAAAACTCTATGAAATTTCCAATACAAGTCAGCTTCTGAAGGATCAACTAGAAGTTTTAATTTAGCTTTTATAAACAAATTCTTTAGCTTAACAAACTTACTGTTATCCAAGATTATTCTAAGACTTTGGTGGCAAGCCTTGGCTGACAGACAGGCAAGGGTAATGGAGAAGAACCAAAGTACCTAGATTTAATAGTCAGTCTGCAGAACAGCTGCTGAAAAGAAACTTGGCCACAAACTTCAGCAAACATTGGGTACCAAGATAGCAAAAAAAAAAAAATTGATCTCTGGACTCAGTTTTGTGGTTAGAATATACTTTGTCCTTTGTACAAGCAAATTCACTTTCTTGAGAAAATAAAAACCGTCTACCCAGTTTACTGGGTGTTTCTTTTTCATTTAAAATTAACCTACCGAGTGCCGTCTGCTTTCCAGCTAACTTTGTATGGCTTCTGCTCCAAAAATTTAATATTTTGCTTGTCCATGGAAACAGGCTGTGCTCCAGGGAATCCAGACCTTTAAAAAAAGGAAAAAAAAAAATCATGTTTATTACTGTTCTGCAATAAACAGTCACACAAGGCAATGCATTTTTTATATCAGACTGAAGTTACACCTTGTACCAGACTTGCTGCAAGGTTAACTTTGAGTTAGAACATCTCCTCCAATAAGGTATTTTGAAAGAGGAATCAAATGCCTGTCTGATGATAACAAGGGTATTTGTTTATTACAAAACATTAAACAACATGGAACTTCAAAGTTTTAACTTTGGAGGAAGAGATATCTGAATTCAAAATTACAAGCACCAGAAGAAGTATAAGCATCAGCAAGTCAGAAACCACTGTGAGCAACTCCCTGCATCACCAGCTTTGGAAAGGAGGAGTTCAGAATCTGAGACATTAAAATCAACGTTCTCATTAGCACTGGACACACATCCAAGCTGGCTATAAAAACAACTATTCTAGAAGTGTAATAGCAGTTGTATAAATAAGGCTGCTGCTTGAGCAAGCACTAAATTTTACACAAATACCTGGACTAGGCTACGTCTGGAATTTGCACAGCAACAATTCATCTGAAAACATGTTATCTCAATGGAAAAGCAGTTCTAGAACTTTGGTTTCTGATACCAGAAGTTGATCGTTCAATTTCATTGTTGAATGCAAGATCCTCATTTGTTTCACTGTTGTGTGTTTTTGAGTCTTGCTTCTTTTTTTTTTTAAACAACCCATCCAAAAACAATAACCTTTTTTTATTTTTACATTTTTTCCTTCTGTAAAATGAGAGACGTAACACTTATTTCTAGGCAGTATAAATAAAGAAGTTTTGAATGTTCCCATACCCTTCCCAGCCACAGAACTGCTGACATTTTTGCTGTATTCCTCCTAGCTTTGGTTGTGTCGTCACCTGGGTCACACATTTAACTGTTATTCCTTCCAAGAAAATGGCACCCTAAATTGAAATTTTAAAAAAAGTGTTTAAGCCTTCATGAAAGCAGATCAGAACACGTCAACACAAACAACTTGACCCTCACAAGCAACACTAGCTTAAATATTCCTTAAACATTTATCCCCAAATACCAAGATATATCAGCTGAGATTTGTCAGGAAACTCACCGGTGAGACATATTATCAACTCAGGAACTGAAATAACTTAACTATGGGAGGGGAAAAAAAATTAAAAAATTAAAAATCGAAAAATAAAAAATCAAAGATAAAAAAATAAAAAAATAAAATTTGAAAAACAAAAAATAAAATGAAAATAATAAAATAAGAAACATTGAAAAGGAGGTAAATGGTAAGGGATGGGCACTGTTTAGCTAGTAGTCTCAAGAAAGTTTCCACATCAAGCTACAGCACCAGGCTGACTCATTCTTCATTTGTAACTAAAGTGACTTTGTTTTAAAAGAAAGTACACCAGTATCAAGTATTTAATAGTAAATTGGTTACATATGGAATTTTCAGGGATCAAATTAATCATTCTTAGTACACAAAATATTATACAAGAAAAAGGCAGAGTAAGACATCTGTTTATGGATGAGAATCTGAACCTAAACATTATTGTAAGCCTGAAGCAAATCACCGTACATTGAAGGTCACAAAACTCTTTCTGGCAGAGGCCTTTGTGACACCACTTTTAAGTGTGCCAAAAAGTACGGCCTCAAAATCAGTAAACTGGAAACTAAGGACAAAATTGACCTATGAAGTGTGAAATAATTTCTTTTAATACAGAAATAGTATTGCTAGACCAACAAGTCTGTGCTTTCCTTAATTCATGGCAAGTAAGAGCTGCTCACTAACAGCAGAGATCTAACACATGAGATGAACAGAAGTAGCTTCGTAAACTGTGAGCCACTGAGAAACATCTTTAGACACAAGGGTTTGGGTGTTTCTTTTTCTAAACAAAAACCTCAGCAGACGAAGACATTAAGTCCTACTTTTCTCCCTTAAATCTGAGATGCGTGTTTCCAATTAAATATGTCGATATTATCAGACCTAGATGGTAATTCCAGTACAAGAAGTTCAACTACATGGATGAGCTACCACCTCATGTGTCTCAAACTTAAACACACACCGTACTGAAAACAATGGAAAGAATGAATGCAGCAGCAAACTTAGAGTTCTCAGTAGGAGAAACTTTAAAAAGAAAACATAAACAGCTGGATTGTAACAAAATATTTGTGTAAAAACGTACTTGCTGAATTTCATTCTCAAGCTAAACCAGGTTACTCAAGTGGAGGTGCTACCCTGAATGCCACAGAAAAGCCTCAATAGAGATCAATTTAAAAATTCTGAAAATAAAACTCTAAAATAAGCTGTACATTCCAGAAAAAGTTTGATGCCAAGTGGAATAAAAACACATTCTGCACAACAGAGCACATTAAAGCCATCAGGTCTACAAAGCCACGTAATTAAAGATTTCTACAGAGATCCCAAATGGACCAGACTTATCTCAACAGCATCTCAAAAAAATTCTCAAAGCAGACGAAGAAGATCAAAGCATGAAGATTCACCTGTTGAGCTATAAATCCTGCAAATGAATATACAAGTATTTGCAATCTGTTCTCTAAAATGCCTGAAACTTGCCTTAAGAAATCCAGCTGCATACAACTGATGAAAAGAGCCTTTTTGCTCCCTTCCCTTTCCACACACAGTGCAACTCATCTGTTCTACTCTTGAGCGAGTCTAGGAACTAAGTTGGCAAAAATAATATCATAAATGAGTAATTTTCTGCCAAATTAGTGTCCTGAACTAGCTCACCATCGGATGAATCAGCACTAGTGCCAGCGCAAGGGAAGCAGAAGGAGCACAAGGAGCGCAGGGAAAGCAGGACCACGGTTTTCAGTAGAGTCTGCATTTAGTTCAGATCGGCTCAGAGGCATCACCAAATCACATTCTGAGAACAGCACATCCTAAAGAAATACACTAGTTCATAACCTTCATTACCTTAAGCTCCACTGACTTATGGTATGTCACTTGTTATTTATGTATTATTTATGTGGGCACCAGCAAGGGCAACTGCACCCAGGTGAGTGGGTGAGGGAGGCAGACAGCTAGACATGCTTGGCCACATGATGTCTAAATCTGAGTAAGTGGTTAAGAGTACCAGGAAATAAAGGAAGATGGAAGCACCTTGCTGCTCAGGACAACGGCAGACGTGACAGCAGCACAGCTGCTTAGATTAAAGCAAACGATCTTCCAGAAAAGAAAAAGTCACAAACGTTAAATTGGTGCCTGGCATTTGAAAGTGTCTCTCGCAGATTATCTGCCTCAAGTATGCTCACTAGCTAAGGCACAGCACTATGAAAACAAGGTGAGTCACTTGGGCATCCGTGCTTGGCTAACTCAGCACTCCAGGTTTCACAAGGACATTTCCTTGGATGAGGTGCGAAAACTGAGCCAGATCCATGTACTTTCTGCACCAACCCCCCCGTGAAAACAGGACACTGGAGAACACCGTGTAGAGATGACAGAGCGTTGGCGCAGCAGGAGCACCTCAGGTTCTCAGCGCTGCTACTAAGCCAAGTGTTACAAGAGATCCTAGGTAACTCCATGCACTTAGTAGGTACACTCCACACAACCTGCACACCGTCTGTACTAACAGAGCTCTCCCCGCTTGCCACCATATCCCTCCACCCACCACTTCAGCTGAAGGAGAAGCGGCAACGTGTATCATCTTGTGTTGGTTCAGATCCTAAACACCATCTGGAGGAGTGGGTGAGTGGGAACAGCCCCACACACACCTCCCTGACCCCCTGTGACAGCCATCTTCAGCTCCTCAGGCTTGACCGAGTGCCAGCATGCTCAGAGACTGCCTTCCACAGGACACGAAACACTCCACAACACGTCAGGAAGAGAGAGAATCTGCATCTTCTAAAATAGAGGAAGGTAGAGCCACGGAGTTACCTTGAACAGCTTAGATTTAATACCTAGAAACAGAGGACCCAATCACAAGAACTGCCTCTAGGCATGTACAAGCCAAAAGGATACAACGAAATCACACTGACTGCCACTCAGTAACAACCGTGTTCCACTAATCCTTTGGTTCTGGTGATGGCACAGGCTTCACAGAATTGGGAGAAGCAGGAAATATCACCTCTTTTGATGCCAGCTTTTGTCCTGGCCTGTCTTTTATTTGCTTGGCTTGTTCTCATAGAGCTCAGAAAACATGGAGTAGATGTAAATTCTTATAAGACAAAAGAGCAATCTTCTTCAAAACCAGGTTGAGAGGAGTTAGCGTCTCACTAACAAAGTAGAAGAATATATTGATGAGGAATTGCAGAGTCTGTTTTGTGTATGAGGAGAATCAATTTATTTTCCCTAAATTTCCTATTAGCATATTCTTATTTTTGTTACATCTGTGAATTCAGTAACAGGTATAGAGACTGTGATGGTAGCTTATGAATACAGTGTTATCTTTAATTTTAAGAATGGGCTGGAAAAAATACTGTGCGATTCAGTATTAACAAAGTTCTACACTTCATAAGGAATAAGCAATTATACAAACACACACTGGTAGATCATTAGAGAAAAAGACACAGAGGCAACAAGAGACCAAAAGCCGAGTTAGTATTAGTCTGTCTTGTAAAAGGCAATTATATTGAGATATAGAAACTGAAGTATTAGCCTTCAGACATGTGAAATTAATTCCTCCCTATTAAGCACTAGGATGGCCTCAACTATAGGCTTGGGTTCAATTACAGGCACCAGTGTCTCAGAAAAATGTGAGTCAACACGACAGAATTCAAAAAAATTACAAGAACGGTCAGAAGTATAAAAGGAAATGAGACCCGTACTCAAACACATCAGTTGCTGCTGCAAAATCAGAAAACAATCTTTTTCCCTTATCCATCAAGGTGCCCATGGGCAAAACAGTAAGTGCAGTGGTTAAATTTTGGGGGAAAAAAAGTAGGTTAGGCAGAAAAAGCCAAAGTTACTAATACTTAGAATCAACATACGATGACAGGTAAGTAATAAATATTACCTCACAGATGACCACAAGACACCTGCACTCAAGTTACAAAGAAAATCATTACCAGTACCATCTCTTCCAGACCTTTTGAGATGTAACCATCAATTTAAGAAGCACTATGTGTTACACCCTGTGAGATACACGGCTCACATGGGACTAGAAGAGGTGGCATTCCTTGAACAGCGAAAGATCCGGTTGACCCATGCAAAGTTTGAATGTTCTGGCTCAGAATCGTAACTGTTTGTCCTATTTGCAAAATCAAGTATTTTTTTCCTGAAGTGAGATTCTAAGTGTCAGTTAATAACATTGCTTCGATGCCACAATCAGCATGGGCACTGACAAAGTCAAAACGTGTTTGGATTTCCTGTGTAGCACCTATTTGCTGTTACCTGTCTACTATGCTCAGGGGACGACAAAGGAAACTGCAATGGCATGATGTTCTAACGCTTCCCAGTTTCTGTAGTGTAGAAAAGAAAGGCTGTCAAGACTTTTTGACATCAAAATATGGACGTTTAAGTAAAAGAAGTTGCAGTAAAGTCTCCCACATCCAAGATGAAATTTCTGAAATGGACAGCATGCTAACTTCACTTTGCAGTTGCTTCTGACTCCTCATTATCCTCGTGAGATGCTTGGGAGGCATCTCCTCCTCTATCCTAAACTTTTCTTCTGCCCCCACGAAGACTTGGGTCACAACAGAAACATTTCAGAACACCACTATTGCCACAGACACCTCTGATTTGACACTGTCTACCCCTAAGTGTTCAAAGAAAGAGTAAAATTAGAGAGCTGAAAACATCTGCTGCAGGAAATCAACATAATGCTGAAAATGCAGCCCCTTATAAAGTAAAAGAAGAAAATCTGAGCAAGAAGTATTTACCTGGTAATCATTCCCCCTGTAGACTGCATATTTACAAGGAATCATAAACAGATTGTGTCCATCTCTACTGAATTAAGAAGCAGTCCAATCTGCCAGCCAAGAACCATGGTAAAGCATTGTCCCCGCTCCTCCTCTTCAGGCCAAAGAATGTTCCTCCAGAGCTGCAAAACTGAATTATACGAATATGCATATTAACTGGATGAGTCTTTCTTCATAAATTCTCTAACTCATAATTAACTTTTACTTATTAATATGCTTATTCGTATAATTTAGCTTCCAGCTTTCAAAAAAACCTATGGTGGCAGATTTAAAGAAGCCTGGGAAGCCAGTGTCACGATTCCCGTCACACAGAGCAGGTCAGCTTTATACTCGCTGGAAAGAGGCTGCCATTGGACCTCACCACCAAACCTCAGTTGCAAATGTATCTTCAAGCAAGTACAAAAACAAAACAAAACAAAACAATACAACAGCTCTGAGGCTGCAGCCCAAATAAATTTTTCTAGATACCCATGTTTTACTGCAAGGCTAATGGAGGTAGTGGCCTTATCCCTGGATATATTTTTATTATGGTTTCTTTTTTACAGTGTGGGCAATTTTTTTATTCCAGCTGATACATTATTTGAAAGTTTTCAAAGTTCATCTTGCTGCTTTGGACTCTATTTTGTGTTCTTTCCAGGCTAATCTCTACCACACTCCATCTGTAAACCACATTGAGCAGCTGCAGTAACAACAACAAAAAAGCATTTTTGCAGCATATTTCATATGAGGATTTCCAAAGTGTTTGCAAACAAACACACCTCAACACACAAGTAAAATAATTCAGTATTATGCAAAAAGAACTGAATCTATTTTTGCACTCAGCAACATTCTCCTCTACTTTGTCTGCAAATAAAAAAATGAAAATAAAAAAACCAATTTTAAAAAGTCAGTTCTGTAATAGATGATACAAGTACACTCCTTGTACTTGAGTATTAGTTCTGTACTACAGCAAATACAGTCGCTTATTTAATCAGAATTATGTAGATATATGTGAAAAAACCCCACAATATATGATCAGCCATATTTCTTATCATTCTACAGTTAAAACAGCACTGAACAAAACGATTTCAAAACTGCCTTTGAGTTTTCAAGCTCATATTGCTTTTTACTAATCCAATTCTCAATCCTCCAAAATTTCCAAAAGTAAGAGTATTTACCAAAATGAGCACTGAATTTTAAGAATTCTGAGCTTCATCCACACGTCTACAAGAAGTAAACACTGTCTACACACACTCCCCACAACATCTCACCTCTAAAGACAGAGTGAATAATTTAAAAGTGCTTTACTATCTCAGCTCAAACTTAAAAAAAAAAGCTGTATTACAAAAATCTTAAGTCATTTGTACAAGTGGAATAGTTGAGGTGTTGAATGTTAAAGTTCAAGGTTCATACAGGAAACATAAGAAAGCTTGCAATGAATCTACCAGTTATTCCTTGTTAGAGGCAATCCTACCAGTCCTCATTTGCAAGAGCACTGACACTTGCAGTAACTGATCACTATTAATTTAAGAAATTAAGTTTAGCAATTAGAATATTAAGTTCTTAATCAAAAATACCAGTTTTAGACGTTCTTTTCTCCTCTTGCCAAAGGAAGAGCTTGACGATCCAGGTTCTGACTCTTGGCCTCCTGTTTTCCCATTATCATCATCCTCTTCCTCGTCTTCATCAAAGCACCATTCTGGTAGCTCAGGTGGTGACGGTGCATCATCTTCATCTCCATAGCGACGAAATAACTCCTTCAAATAGTCGCCTTTATAAATACCTGGTGGTCTAGCCTGAGCAAAAGTAGCCACAGCAGCCTCAATACTGTCAAACAAAAATTGAAAATTACTCTGGATGCTAAATTTACATGTTCTGGTCACGTTATGCCTTACCAAATGCAAGATTTATTAGGACTGAGAATTAAAACAAACTCCAAACTGGTAATTGCAAAAACATTCATTATATTTGAAACATCATGCTTAGATCAGCCTGGCAACCGTTGCTCTTGCACAAGACTCTGGATAATAACGTAGGCACTGTAAACGTTCTCAGAAGTCACTGCAGCCTGCACTGCTTTGTCTCCTTATTGCAGCTAATAGTGGTCTGCCGGTCACCTAGGTGAAACTTTAGTTATTGCTATAGAAAAGGAACGGGTGACACGTGAGGAAGTACTTTAAGGACTGAATGAAGACAGAAAAGACCAAAGAAAAAGACGAACAAACGTCATCAAGAAAAATGCAAGTGTAGAAATTCAAATATGGCCACATTTCCCTACCTAAGAATTATCTTTTCTTTCATTAGAGGTTTTGCCATCACACTGGGAAAAAAGCAGCCTAACCTTTTGGAATTAGTTCTCTTTCCAGAAGATTCTCATTAAAAAACTGTAATTCAGAAGTCTTTTACTCAGCAGCTAACACTCAATCTTAAGTGCTTTAATAAACTGCAAACTGAACCACAAAAAAATTAGCAACCAAAACTAAGAGTCATGCACCTTTACCACCTTGAGAGAACTCCAAAATATACAACAGTGAGCACAGCACAAGAGTTTTATTGTTGTGGTTTTCACAGATCCTACGAAAACGTTTAACAGAAAACACTGGACATAATCCTGTCTGCAGTTTATCACGGCTGCACAGACCAACATTTAGAAATCTTGCTAAATAAAAGAGCACAGAAATCGCAAAAAGTACACGCCCCCGTTAAGCTTCTTGACAAGCACACATATTTTAAAGCTGGAACAAAAGCACACATTACTTTCTGTGAAAAGAACTTTTTTCAGGTAAGAAAACAGCCTGCCACTGGAACAAGGAAAATATATGGCTGAAATGGGAAAAAAGAATTTAAATACAAAAGTCTTTTTTTTTGTCTGATCTGTACAGTACAGGAAGAAGCCTGAGAACTCTGAGGCAGTTTTCCCAGAACAGACAGGAACATTTCCTGAGAATCAGTAAGCTTGCTTCTCTCTTCTGATCCTTGGCAAGAGTAGAAAACAAAACATTTTCCAGAGTGAGATTATCAGATGGTCGGTCACCGGATCTCAGAAACGGCAGTTTAAGAATCTGAGTTATTTAGAAGAAGTTTTCTTCCCTGTTCTATTTTCTAAAACTCCTAATTTCTTTCTCACAAGATATTTTTATTTTGGTGTCTTTCTTACATTGTTTCACATCTTCTGTAATCAATGGTATTGAAAGGACAAAACAAACCAAAAGGGATGAGGTCTGAAAGATGCTCAAGTTTGTCCCTGCTGATACTAGAACTCTATACTATACTGCAATAGGTGGCAAGGAAAGCCAAAAGAGGCAGCAGAGATTTCAAGCCCAGAAATCTAGCTGAAAGAAAACATTATGCAAGTTCTAGCAACACAGAAGTCTTTGGGAAAAATGAGTGGTAAAAAAGAGAATCAAGTAAGGTTTCTGATCACCAGCTGAAGAGCTTTTAATCTGGATCTTCTTTCTTTAAACTGACTATAAAATACATCTCAGTATTCACAATACATCAGCAGCACTCCTGTATCATATGCTTAAGGAATGAATATGGATGGATTTTTTCCATCAGGAAAATCTTATTTCCTCATCAGCAAATAACTGCCTTATTTTAAAGGATGATATAGGAAATTGGATTCATCTTGAGACAATGCTTTGTATTAACTACCACCTTGCCGAAATTCATTCTTTTGCTGTAAATGTTTTTCCCTACCAGGCAGTATCTGGGTGTTCTGTTAAAAAAAATCTGACAGAGACGAACAAACTTAATACAATGAACTACCAGAATGAAGCTAAGAAAATAAGACATGGCTGCTAAGTTTTAAGGCTTTTCCCACAGAGATCTGAAAATAAAGAGAGGCTGCATAAAAGCAGGAGGTTCAAATAGATTCAAGTCCATTTCCTCTTCAGAACAAAGGACCAATTCCGAGTCTAATTACTGCATGTTGCTTTTAAACTGTTAGGTTAAAAGCACACAAATTTGCTAGTTCATAGGAACAGGTAGATACTTGTATGTGTCTGCTTCCTATACTCAGCTAAGATTCTGCCAAGATTCAGCCACCCACTACTAATGGTGTTCTCTCTCCATTACTGCAATGTCTTTATTCCAAGTTTACTAGCAGACAACAATGACCTATTTCTCCGCAAACAGCTTGCACATGCAAGCAAAGTATCAAATAACTGCATGTCCACTTATAAGAAAATGCCGCAACGGGAGCAGAATCTTCCTCGCTTAAAGAGCCACACAAGAAATATCTTCAGAATGCTCAAGGGGCTTGTTAAGAAACATGCCTTGCACAGGACCCCGTTAGCACTTCCTAAACACTACCAAGCATGCAAAAGTCATACCCAACAGCACGCTACAGGCAATTTATGTTCTTTTACCCTGATATTATTTGAAAAAGATCACTATTCTGTGAAGGCATCAACATTTTTAAATCACAAAAAAGCAGGTGAGTTGGTACAGAAGCCTGCTGTAGACTTTAGTCAAACAAGCAGCTGGAAACAAGGATGTTCTCTCCCCCTGACTCTTCAGAAGCAAGTATGTCCCTCTGCTGTTGCTCTAGCTAATCTCTTCAGAACTCAAAAACCAAATCTACATGAAAAGATGGAAAAGTAAGAGAAAAAAAAATCTCTCGGGCATCTCTGAACTCTACATTCTTACTCAAAATGTGGGACACATCACAGGGGAAAGACTCAATACAATACATAAATTCCTAAAATCCTCCACACAGCAGGTACAGCTGACTTTTTATCTACTGGGCCTGGAAAGCTGGACTGAAACAAGCTAAGCTACCAGGGGATGATACGAATAACATTAATATAGGTTGGTTGCTCAAGATTAGTAGGCAGTTTTAAAATAAGAAACAGTGAACACATAGGATAGCTGTCAGGACGAGGAGTAAAGATACTGAAAAAGGCTTTAGTCACTCTCCACAAATCCCTAGGAATTAACACTCAAAGTTACCTCCAGTCCAACTTCTCGACCAAGAAGGCACAGATCAGAAATCCAGTTCTATTGAAACCATGCGTGCAATGGACACCTAGACGGGAGAAGAAAAGGGCATAATCATTTGCACGTAGTTTTAATAAACATGCCTTAATTTCACAAGTGTGTTTTTGGATCCATCTACCTTCATTGGTAACAGGAAAGAGTTACCTCCTATCCCACCAAGGCAGCTCAGATCATGTAAGGCACATAAGCCTAAAAAGCAATTTACTACATTCTTTCTGCAAATTATCAGCAACAGGAGTATAGGATACTTCAGTTTGTCCCAAAACAAGGGCACTAACTTAATGCTACCAAAATGTGTCTAATACAGATAAGATTCAAACTTTTCAAATTTTAATGATCAAGCGAATGCCTGTCAGAAGACAAAACAATCAAATTAAATAACTGTGCTTTTAGTGGATTCAACAAGCATTACATTCATTTCACACCATCAGGGATAAAAATCATACCCAGAATACTCTACCTCAAACTTGAAAGCAGTGCCAACAGACCACAAGTCTATTCTAAATTTGCTAGTACCATGCTCAGACCAGACTTATTAATTTTGGAAAAAAACTAGCAACCTTCTCCAATAAAACAGTATAATAACCTTGAATTAATTATCTTTTCTGTGTAAGCAAAAAAAGATTTAGGTTCTCTCCAGCCTCTATTTTACTGAATTCAGACTCCAGTGAAAAAAGGGGAAGAGTCAAATGCGTTGGTATTTTTTTCCCTCTCAAGGCAAGAGCACCATCTAGTGATGCACAAACCCGGCTGAAAACCTGTGCTACTAAAATTGTGAAGGATTCAGGCAAGATGTTGCCTCTTGCCCATACTGCATTTTAAATTATAACTATCAGAGTAGTAAAGTTTCCAATAACGCCAAATGCAACTATACTCACTATTAACATATTTTTCAGTTATGGCCATGAAGCAAGTCACTTATTGACTTCTTGATTTCTCTACCACAGTTAGTAAAGCAAGTTTAGCAACAAGCCCCTTGATGCTTATTCAGACAAAACGTGAAGATCTATCTTTTTTTTCTATGCCCCTTCCTACACTGCAATTTATTGTGAGGTTTTTTTTATTGGAGATCCAAAAAAACGCCTACAGAGAGTAAGCTGACAAAACCCAGAAATTTTATATGGGTAAACGGGAATATGTATCAACTGTATCAGGGTTGGGTTCTGTGCCCACCACACCAAGCTTCTTAATAAAACGAGGCAAAAACTACTACAAATTTCTTAGATTCATCCACTCTAACCACCTAATAATATTAAAAGCTGTGTAATTTGCATCAAATTAAATTACTTTTGCCTTCCTCATAGAACTTGTTCCCAGTAATCATTTCTCCTTTGTTTTCTGCTTAAGTAAGATTTTTTGCATTTTGTTTCTCTAAGGTTGGCAGGCATACTCCAGTCCCTCCAGTTGCAAAAATAACGTTTCCATCCTACATTGTTCTGGCTGAATAGAAAATTCTGTTCACTTACTCATTCCCAGTTTGGTCTCTTTTCATATCTAATCTTGACACCGGGAATGAAATTGCACACAACCGCTCTCAATAAGTCCTGCAGCTGTTACTGCTGCCAAGAAGGTTAAGTCAATTTTATACACAACAAAGATAAGAACTGCATTCACTTTTGATAAAAACATCCTCCCCACCAGTCCCTCTGATGGTCTGTCAGAGGAAACACGCATCCAGAACCAGAAACAACTTTTCAGTAATACATGGAAGGGAAATGGAAAATCCCAACATTCCTCTTTTACTGTGAAAGCCTATACCACAGGTTATTGAAATGCTTCGTCACACATTCTTGTCTTCTTCACTCCTTCTAATTGACTTTTTTTCCATAGAGGTGAAGCAATCTCAATAATGGAAGAACATTCCAAAATCTAAGTCAGAAATTTGCGATGACACCAAAAATGACATTTTAGAAGTTGAAATACCAGTTAAATGGGTCTGCTATTTTTAGGATACCAACATGCTATCTATGCTCCCTAGAAATTGCTGACCATAACAATATTTCAAGTTCTGAAATATTGTTGGAGGACCAAGTGGAGGAACTGTGAAAGGAGAGTGAAAAACGAGGAACGGCTAAAGAAGAGTAGGATCAGTCATCAACAATATTTCAGAACTTGAAATACTGTTGATGACTGAGCCCACTCGCTCTCATTAACAGTTCCTCATTTTTCATCACATACTTGCATTACAGTTTAAAGAAAGCATAGGTCTCAAATTAAAACTGCACTCTCTGAAAAAAAAATAAGAAGGCAATGAAAAGTATGTGGAAAAGTGTGTGTCCAAATTAAATCTTATTTTACTCTGGGTAAAATAAAAAAAATCCTGAAGAACATTCAAGTATTCACTGTGAGACAGTGCACTACAGAAGAAAAACTTAGCCTAATATCTACTACCAGTTTTCAGCAATTAATCAGCTACTTTGTGAGATTTGCTAAAGAATCTCTGATCATTCAGTTATTGAACAGGACTTCAAATAAGCCAGACCATCAAAGGCCAAAACAATTCCTAGGCAATACATAGCCTGCATTTGTATCAGCAGAAGTTACAAAAACACAACACAAGTATCATATATTTACAGACAGTTCTTAAGCCTGTATATTTTTCTGCATTAAGTCAATAGCTGTAATCAAACTGATGGATGCAGAAACATTCTAGTGTGTGTAAAGGACAGAAGCATATTAGTTTCTGTAGTAAATGCAACCAAATCTATATATGCATAAACACTGTACTGAAGAAATTCCTTTGTTTACACTTTGAAGAATAAGAGACTGCAGACGTGAGTAAATATGAAATAAATTAACAGTAAAAACTAACAATGGCTAGAAGAAGACATACCTATAAGCTCTGAGGGATTCTTATCACTGAAGTGCTCACATACACGGATAAATGTTTCTGTATTCTCAGGTGTAGGGCACTCACCATGCCTGAAAAACACAGGAATGCACAGATTAGGAGACAGCCGGGGGAAAGGGAAGAGAAAATAAAGATTAATTACTTCAGTGGGATCTTTCAAATTAAAAGCTAAATATTTTAAAAGTGCAGACAACTTACCCTTTACACTGGAGCTTTATATATTTAATCCCCTCTTTCTCTATATCATTCCTATCATAGAATCTAGTAGTGTTGGTCAAGTCTACCAGCAAACCCATTTTAACCTAAAAAAAAACCAAACAAAACAGAAAAAATAAAAAGAAAGTAAACTTATATAGACGGTTCAAGTAGCAGTGCGTAAGTACTAAATGGCTAGTAACATCCAAATTAAAAGCAATGGTAGGCTACAGTTGCAAGTTTAAAAACTCATAAATACTGCATTTGTTTATAAAATTTATATTTTACCACAATCACAGTCATCTGTGTTTCTTTGTGAATCAGCACCATCATTCATTCAAACACTTCCACTTGTTCCCACTAACATTTCGAAATAAGAAAGATCTGCCAACAGCAGGAAAGTATCTGGTACAGAATTATTTTAACATGTTAAAAGACAAAATAAGGTAGAATCGGGTGCTCTTATGCTTTAAGTAGAACAATATTAAAGATTGGCATAGTGGAAGTACCATAAGAAAAATTAACTACTGAGACATTTATGAGTGTACTCTCAGAAAAGAACCAACTCATTTTAATTTACCCAGCCATTAGAGTGCAAGACAAACACAGACATTTGCAAGTTTGAAACAGAAAATCTCTTAAATTCTCAGACACATTTAATTCAAAGCTAAAATGGGAAACAGCTTGAAATCTCCAAAGATGCTGTCAGTAATTCGGGTGGCAGTGTCAACCACTCAGATACTGGGATGTACCTGAATCCAGGACGTCTTGACCACTCTACCCTAATGGGTCCCCTTGTGCATGAACTTACTTTTTTAGTGTTTGGTTTTTATAGCTGTAAAATGGGTTTTCTTAAGCAGCTTTGTGGAAGTTACTCTTTTTAAAAAGCAAGATGGAAAGCAGAAATTCCACTGGGTGGCATCCAACATAGAGACCATCAGCAAAGTGTATCCCACTGACCATTGGTCCAAACAAAACTTCCACCAGCCATCAGCCTCCCAGCATTACTGCGCAAAAATCAACTCACTAACACCTCTGTACTGAAAGTATTTCTGCTTTCCTGCCTTGTAAGTGCAAGTAATTGCTTTTGGTCACAATGCTGAATGTCATGCTTTCAATTAGGATCCTCACCATGAAAGCAGATGCCTTTGTGAAAGGAATTTTAAGAGTGGTAGTTTAGCAAAATCCTTGTTCCACAGCTTTCTCTTTTTTAAAGATACAGCAACAGCACACTTAAAAATACCTGAACACTGAAGCATGTTACACATGCAAAACCACGAAAGAACACTGCATCTTCAATATATTTAAAACTCAGCACATGCTCATAAACAGGATTTTCATCAGGCTTTATTTACCTTAACACCAACAAATGGGCAATAACTTAGCAGTGCAGTTGGAAGGATTACAAATCAAAACACTGCTTCCAAACTATTCAGAAAAGAACAGTTCCAATTACAACTGGAACGCAGCTCACAAACAGCTGCTTCACATGGGTATGTTGTTCAGTGGATCCCAAAGGCAGATTTCCATTTATCTACAGAGGTAGCTGTCCATGGTATTAAAAGGTTTGATTATATACTTTTAGAATACTTTTCCTACTTTCCTAATACTTTTATACTTTCATAGTATTTTACGTATCCGATACTAAAAAGCATCATAACGTTATGACAGGAGCATTAAGCAGTTGTAGCGTAAAATCCAAATCGGTTATGAACTTCTTGTTTACTTCAAACTTCACACATTGCATTCTGAATTCTTTATTTACTTATTACTGAGTTTTGCAGGAATATAAGCTGCTTCAGTAGGGGTCCACCTGAAAACAGCTACATCACCTGAAACTTCAAACATGTAGTGCCAACCAAGCTGCTAAACATATAGACTGACAGCACACCAGCCAGTGCCTCATTATGTCGGAAGAATACAAAGGGCAATTAATTCAATTATTATTTTCCTCCCTCTCCATTCTTAACAGCATTTTGCATATATGTCAAAGGGAATATCTCAGAAAAATGTAAGAATCTCTCCTTGTGTTCTGCAGCCTATCAAGAGTGTGGTTAGAGCTGGGAAAAAGTCTGAACGAGAAGCGGGTGTGTTTCCACCAAAGAGCTCCAGCCTAGTCCCTGAACTACCCTCCCTTTTGCCCAGCTTCCACATAGCTCAGCTTGACAACCTGTTCTTTACGAGCAATATGGGGTTAGGTGCAACACTAACAAGGTGTCCTCAGCTAAGGGGGGGAAAAGGTATTTTCAAAGATTAAGACTTAATGAAAACATCATTTTAAAGCAAAGATTTTTGCATTCAGTTCCAGTCTAGTAAGAAAGAAGGCATTTCAAAATGTGAACTGCTCTTGAACAAAATGTTGTATCATCTGACAGTCTAGAGAAAGGGGAAAAGAATAGTGAGGAAAACAACCTTAAATAAAGCATGAAGACAGATTAAAAGGTAGCACTGTTTAATGTATTGAATTATTAAAGGAGAGCTATAAGCAGAAATGCAAGTGATTTGCAGGACGTAGTTTACATCCTCCCATACAAAAGTAGGAGAGATACATTCCATTTTACTGTTTAAAACTCAAAGCCAATTGCCAACCCCACTGTTCTCTAATACCAGCAGCATCAAATGTTCCCACCAGAAGCTTCCAAACTTCCCAGACTCCTGCTACAATGAAGAATCATCACTGAGAGGATTCATGAAAGCACAAAAATCAGTTTTATTACAAAGCTTTTAAACTTAAAGAATACTTGCATGCTTTTCCCTCAGCTCTTAGAAATCGCTCTTTTGAACATACTCACAGATTTCAGTTTCCTGACAGACAGGAAGATGTAGAAGCCAGGAGAACACTACAATGTACTTCAGACTTAAGAGTCTGAAGCACAGCATTTGGGATGTTGCATTGAATTTGAACAGAAGAATGAAATAAAGCAAAACATCCGCTAGAAAGGAAATTCTGAACTACAGGCCTCTAGGACTTCTGGCCTGCTATTTCTTTGCAATTATTACAAATCATTTCAATCATGTACAAGTGAAGATCTTGTGAAGTGACACTGTTGCTCATACATTTCATGGAGCAGTAACCAAACAGGCTATACAGGATATAATTTAGCCAAAACTATAAAAGCATGTATGGCATACAGAGCGTATAAGCCCTGAAAGAAGTTTCCTTGCTTTACAGAAAGCATCAGCATTTGCTCTCTCAGTTCATGGGATTAACTGCACATAACACACTGCCATTTAGAGAGTGCAAGGAAAGAGAATATATAAATATCATATTTTTTAATTTAATATATTTTTAAGTGGGAAGATTATGTAGCACATCAAAGTATAAAATTACAGTGTTCCAAAAATCCATGCAAAAAACCACTGGTACCACAGGAATCAGAACATCTCAGTCACTAACGCAAGGTTATATCATGCTTGTCCTGACCAACCACAACTCACACCTACAGAACAGACTCTCATGCTCAACACACAGGTGCTCTGCTCTGCAGCCCTGCCATCACACCAGCCAGCACAGCCATCCTCGCAGTCATGCTCTCATGAGTTTGCTCTAGAAAATTCTTAAAGGAAGCTGACTTTTGAAAGATCATCTAAGCTAAAATAGATAGCCACCCATTGAGGAAAAAAAAAGTCTTTCCAGGCAATGTTTTGCATGAATCACAGCTTTCAGTCCACCACGCCCATTGCATGGCACCGCTTTGGAAGAAAGAGTTCTTTCAAATTGCTGAGCAACTTCTCACTAAAATATATTTATTTCTTACAAGTATTGTTGCAACACTACAATCTTGGACATCACATTGAAACACAACTGAAACTAGTTATTTTTCTTCCTTCTAATTGTAAAAAATGACTGGATAGAAGGAAAAAAAGCTTACTGATAGCTTGAAATTCTCATTTTCTACATACAGTGATACCAAGATCTTCATACCACCTCCATTCTGCTCATAGTTATTTTGGCCAGGCTCTCCATGTCCTCCTACGGTTATAAAAGCCCTCCTCCTCACTTTCTCACATTCCAGCTATCTCCAACTATTAATGCCGTATGCCTGCGCTCTTCTGCTGCTGTGCAATTAAACGGGCTCAGTTACATTCCCCTTGTATGACCCCAGAAGTTTCTCATTAAACATTGGAATGTAAAACATTGGAATGTAAAACATCATCCCCAGGAGGGACGGAGCATACTACAATACACTGAATTCTCTCCAGTCCCAGGATTTTTTCTCTTGCAATTCTTATTTGAGGAAAAATAGCTTAACTCATTGTTTGACATTACCTGTGAAAACAATCATGTGGCTGAAAACTGATAAGGAGTTTTCTGAATAGGAATACTGTAACTGGAGCACACTAATTGCCCAAACGTTCCCTTGAGTTAACTAATGTCCTAGCTCTTCTTAACAGAAATAAAACTATCTTTTATGAAGCACAAACAGTACTAACTTATCTACTCAAGAGAGATTTTAAAAAATTATTCAAACTGTCTCTAATTATTTGTCCTGCGATTTTTTAATAAGACATTAAGATACTACGTCAATATTGGCAATCAGAAATAAAACTGGGTTGCCATCCCTTATCAAATCAGTGTCTAACATTCAACCAGCTTCATGAGAAAAACGAATCACACAGGAAGTCTGTGAGAGAAAGTTGCTCCCAGACAGATGTTGTCTTAAATGCTTAGTCAGTACCTTCAAAAATCTGTAATAGCAGCTATATCTAACTATTACCAAAATCCAGGTGTAAAAGTTTCTGCAGAAGTCTCTTATTTGGGAGCTAATTTACTTGGACTTAAGTAATGAGCAGGTTACAGAAGTGACTCATTCTGCCAAGTATTAGCAGTAAAACACAATGCAGTGACACAATGAGAACCACGCTCTGTGAGCCACTTGTGTCTTGAGAAAATCCACTTTTCAAGGTTTCCTCAATTGCACACTCATCTCATTGCCAGCGTGTTGGCAAACTGCTGTCCCACAGATACAGCACTCCAGTAACCACCACGTATCTTGGCAAATAAAAAGTCGTATGTTTTCAAATAGCAAACATTTAAGCAACAATACCAGGGTTCAAGACAATATAATAGATCTTATGAGAACAGGGAGTTTGAGAGAAATTATATGTTAACCAAAAATAATAAAATGTAAGCGAGGATCCTAATGCTAGTAATTGTGCTATCAGTTTCTAATCATCTAATGTCAATCAAGACATTACAAATTTGCAGTATTGCAATAGAAGTGATTGATGCGCCTTGCGGAAAGGCCATGAAGGCTCATCATGATTTCTTATTTGGCTACAAATCACTGAAACAAATAGCCAGAAATTCTGAGTCAGTCTCCGAAGTTCTCTAGAACTTCAAAATATATGCAGAATTTTAAATTACTTTAAAGCACGACTAAGATTGGTTTTGGAAAATTCCTAGGTATGTCCAATAAAGCCAGTCAGAGTCAGAAACAACATAATACATAAAAGAACTCAAGCAGAATTTAGAATTCAAACAAGAAAAATCCCATCAGTTCAAGCAACTGGGAACGGACACATACGCTTCACTGACAGCACGTTCTGATCACATTAGCCCATGGGTATTTTATTGCTGCTACACAGAGTAGCTCACCAACTACTTCATACCTAAGCCTAAATAAAGTTTCTGTATTTTAGTCACTTGATTTCTGATGTTTAAGCTTAAGTTCAGAATTAATGTCACTTAGATCAACAGGAAAAAAAAAAAAAACAAAAAACAAACCAAAAACCAAGCCAGAGGAAAAAAATGTCACTAGCATGATTAGTCTTATCAAACAGTCAAAAAAAAATGGATGCTAACCTCCTATTTAACAAAGAGATTAAAAACAATTAGGTTTTAGGCCTTTCTTCCCCTGGGAGGTTCAAAATCCCATCTCCGACATCTCCAGATGCACTGAACTGAGCACAACCCTTCACAGTCCTACAGGAAAGGCTGGCGAGGTCCCATTCCCCACCTTTATTGTCAAAGCTGTGTTACGGTGCAGAGCATCCAAGTTGAAGTAAGCAGACAGAAATGGGCAAAACAGAGATGAAGAAATAAGCCAGAAGCACAACTCTATAACCCAGTGGTAAAGGCATCCACCCATCTTCCTGAGTCCCAATCTATGCTTTAAATTGTTTTTCCTATTTATATTTTTCCACAAGTTACTAGATAAAATCCATAAACTGTTTTATTCCATACTTGGGTATGACCTGTCAGATATAATAAAGCACTTTATGCTTCAAAAGAAGAAAATGATGCATCAAAACTACAGTGTTCTAAGAATTTCTCCTTTCACTTCTAAACGCTTTCACTCCTAATAAGCAAAATTGCAACTTAACGTATCCATACGCAAGAGTCATTTGCAAAACTGCAAACTCAGACTATCTGAATTTTGACAATGACATCTCTCCAAGATGCAACAGTAATAACAGAGAAGAGTGAGATTCTTGTTCCTAACCCAGTGAATGAGCTGGAGGATTTTGCCCAATTCTTGCCTATAAAAAAGTACTTTTGGAAATTCAGGAGTTGCAGAGAAAACCTGAAAATGTAAACAACAAAAAAATTCTGTACAGATCTCCCAGAGAAAGCCATCAACCGCTGTTTTTCTTAAATCTGAAAAGCAACATTTGAATAAACATAAATAATGAAAGTAACGTTTCAATGACTAGAAAAATTTAACTTTACCTTCAGACTTTTTAAGTAGTTGGATAACATACTTGGGTGAAAACGATTTTCTTCAGCAACCTGTTCATCGTATCTTGGTCCTAACATTGTCTTCAAAGGTAAAAACTTCCCTATAAAAGACAATCAAATTTTGCAGTATTTTATGTATACTCATGTATATGCACGCTTACAGCATAGCAATTTCAAAGCAACATGCTGAGCAGATTTAGAGGTTCACCTTCAATGAAAAATAATCGCAGGAAAAGTATCAACCATTGAACTGGAATATTTTTAAGTTCTCAGAATTCACAAATAAGTTTAGAAGTTTAAAGAAAATACAGATCAGCTCACCTAAAACAAAGTAATACAACATTTTTAGCTAGCCTTTAGTGCGATTTAAGCTGCAGAGCTACAGCACACAACAGAATAAATTAGAAGTTGAAAATATGAAAATAGCATTTTAAATGACATTTTGTTACCCAAGCATGTAAATACCAGCTCTGATGACCTGCAAACATAAAAATGGTAAAGATCACTGGGGGGGAGAGAAAAAAAAAAAAGGCATTTGGACCAGAACATCCATGCATACAGATCCTTCTAACGTGCTCCTTAAGCCTTGTTGGAAGAGTTCTGTGACTGCATTCAACTGTCCCTCCAAAGTACACCACTTACGTGTGGCTCAGACACCAGGGAAGTCACAAAACTGCAACAAAAACTTGACCGATCACTACTTACCGGACTACATAGAATCACAAAGGTTTGGGTTGGAAGAGACCTTAAAGCTCATCCAGTCCAACCCCTGCCATGGGCAGGGACACCTCCCACCAGCCCAGGTTGCCCAAAGCCCCGTCCAACCTGGCCTTGAACACTGCCAGGGAGGGGGCATCCACAGCTTCCCTGGGCAACCTGTGCCAGTGTCTCACCACCCTCACAGTCAAGAATTTCTTTCTAATATCTAATTTAAATCTACTCTCTTCCAGTTTAAAACCATTACCCCTTGTTCTATCGTTACTTGTCCTTGTAAAAAGTCTCTCCCCAGCTTTCCTACACTACATCTACTCCCTAGAAACCCAAATTCTTTTTTAAATACTGATTTTAGTTTTCATCCATCACGTTCACCACAGATTATCTGGAACAATACCAGGAGAGATCTCTAGCTCATTCTTTCTGAAGCCCAGCAATGGGCTCATGGATATGCCTGTCTCCATGTGCAACAGGAGCAGGGATCTGAGCAGCCTGCACTGACCCCACAGCTCTTCCTGCGCTTCCCAACAGGCAGGACTTTAGAGCCCAGGTCCCTGCCACCATGCCAGCCTGGGAAGCAGCAGCTCCTGCGCACACCTGGGATCCTGCACTGCCACTACTGCTGGAAAAAGAACACAAACTGTTGTAAGAAAGAGACCTGGCTTACCTGCCCAGCCACACCAAGGCTAAGAGTACAGGCAAGGAGGAAAACTGGGAGAACCTTGGCATTTCTAAATATCTATGGAAATATTTACATGAATTATAACCCAAGACTGATCAAATAACACCACTCCCCAAAAAAAAACCCTCACCAAACAAACCCAAATTACCATCCCAGAACTTTTCCTCTTTTTTTTTAAATATAATTGTTTCCATGCTGTTAAAAACACAACCCTTCTAAAACCAAAGCAAACACAGCTATATAATGCAGCTTCTGTACGGCACAGAAGAGAAGCAGAAACATTTTTTTTTAATTACAGGAAGAACTCCAAATTGGAGCACCAGACATAAAGCTTCCAGGAAAAAAAAGTGCTGCTAGATTCTGGTGATGTCCAATTGTATTTCTAAAAGGCTCCTAATAGCCATTAACCTATGTATTTCCTAGAGAGGAAACAAAAAAAGGCAGTTCATTTGCTACGTGATTCTTTTTTCAGTAACTTTTAAAAAGCTTTTCTTATTTAGAAACACAAATACCCATGTATTTTGAACTAAGGAAAAATATAACACCTTTCTATACTTTTCTGTAAAGCATCTGATGCATCTGTTCAGCTGTGTAATGTAGAGCAACAGCCCCCATCCACTAGGCTTTATGCAGTATTTAAATGTGCAGTTTCAGATCCTCAAGCGAACTGGCACACCCAGCAATAATCCCAAAAAATTCTTCTCAATTGCTCAAGAAAATACTGCTCTCTCATCAAGACAGAACATTTACTCATAGTAAGAAAAACAAAATGATCTTGTTTTCAGCAAAACAAAATCCCATGGAATGAAAAGACACTAAAATGCCCATTGTATTCAGCTAGAAAACATCTTATATAGTATCAAATAAGCATTTAACTTCTAGGAAAGAGACATTATAACCCACGGAAGACAGCCAGCCATGGAAACTGAGAAGCTTTATGTAACTCGTTAGCTCAGGTTTGATGTTAATCAGCAACATGAGAAGCACCTTGACTGTTACACTTGTCTAAGACCATCCCAAACTTGACAGCTAAAAGGGAAGTTATTCAGTCATATAGTCAACATACACATTAAACTGTAATAAATTCATAGTCACTTCCACTTTTTTGACTGTTAGAAGAACTCCTAACTTCACTTCACTTCCCTTTGCTTTTTCATTCCTCCTTGCTGGTCATAGCTGTTGGCCTGGCTACCTCCCGTCCACTGCCTCACCTCTTGATCTATCTACTTTAATTTTCTTGCTTCTTTGTGCTCCTTGTCACCTTCAACACTACCATTCAGCCTCTCTCACTCACTATTAATTCTTCCACATTAACTTAAGTTCAAATTTGTCAAATAGCTTTGGAAAGTGGATATTAAAAACCATCTTCCAAATCAGCTACCTGCAAGAGAGATAGTATTTCCTTAGGTTGAAAAAATAGGTAAAAATTCTAAACATAAGAGCCCAGTATGTCAGAGCATAGACTTCAAGTGGATAAATCTAAGAAAAATCAAAGTTAACAGTGTAAGACATCACATTTCCTAGATATATACGATCTAATTTTGGCACATTTTTTTATTTTACAATTTGAATTCTAGAGCATAGCAGTGAAAAAGCTACCCTTAATTTAATCTAATTTTCTGTGACATGAAGCTATCGACTGAATATATGACAGTAGCCCCTAATTATGTAAGACCATGGTATGCTTGGATTGAGCATTGATTAGGAATACTGGACTGTGTAAAGCGACCAAGGTAAAGAAAGGAAAATTTGAATAAAATAGAATAGTAAAATCCATCATTAAAAAAAGAAAACCAAATATCACCCTAAGAAGTAAGTCTTCTGTCTCAAGAACAACTATGCTGGGTCAAAGTATCCATTTCACCTAGTACCTCATCATCAAAACAGGCCACTAACAGATCCCTAGGAAAGAGCAAAAAACAATGGCAATGAAAATCCCACATCAGATTATCCTCCACAACTACAACAGGCTATAGCTCAGCAATTTCCTGAACCAGAGGCATTACTCTTCTATTTAAGGTGCTGTATCTAGAAGCATATGCAACATGGATGTTTTTTTAATAATATCTCACCGTTCTGCATGCTGTGTGTATGTCTAGAACAAGATTCATTAACATGAACCACCAGAGGGACACTGAAAGATGCTGCTGAGACACTTCTCATATCTCTTCTTCAATACCTTGGTAGCACTTTCTACAGCAAAACCAAAACAGACTGGGTTTGCAGTGGTTATAAAAGCAGGAACCTTCAGACAGGGCAATGCCAAGGCAGAAAGGCTGAAGCAATGTGTTCAGAGCTACGAGTTCAGAGAAAGCTCTTTCCATCACGTATGTGACTGAGGTGCTACCACAATGCAGTAAATGTGAAAATGAGCCATTCTGAAGAACTGCTGTACATAAAACCAGGAAGTGGCAGAAAAAACACCAATATTCAAAGAATTAAACTGGAAAATAAAGGGAGACATAGCTCAATTCACCTCGTTCAGAATGAAAGGTCCTGTTAACCTGAATGAACCCAGTCTCACCAACAGAAGAGCTCCCAGTCTCATTAGTACTTGTGTTTGAGGTCACCTAGAAATTCTAGATGCCACAGCCGTAAGACAAGAAAGTCATGACCAAACATTTGATGGATATTAGTCCACAGAAGCCAGACAATCCTTGCTCAGCAACATTACTCCTATTACTCTATCAGATGGGAATACACTCATGCACAGATGCTTAAAAATTTGATTGAAATGCTAATTAAAACTAGAATATAACACAACTGGGAGACAGTACTAACATCAATAAACTCCCTCTCAATAAAACTGTTTGATGTCTTCGAACGTAAATGAGACGAGGAGAGAAGACTGATGGTGTACGATGACTTTTGGTAAGTTCTACACACGAGAAAACTAAAAATCGGGTGAACTAATAAAAGAACACGTTATGATAAAGCAGCCAAAGAAATGAACCAAACAATTCCTTCTTTTGTGCAGTTTCTTCTTGTGCATGATCACACCGAATGGAAAAGAATTACCTTGCAGTTACTGAATAAACAAACACACAAGCAGTGATGGCACAGCAGATGACATGCTGATGACCTGCATTCTTGCTTACTCTATGTTGCTATTTTTGAGAAGCCATGGCTTAAAACACAGACAAACACACAAAAGCAACAACTTCTAGAGATCAGGAACTTGCTGAGAAGAAAAACAAAGAATAAAGAGTCATTAGTCTATTTTTGTTGTGGCCAAAGCCTAACAACTTAGGCTATCAAATCTCTTACTAGATACAAAGCAATACACTTGTCAGCAATCAGGAAAAAGAGATAATGGAGATGAGCAATAGGACAATGCTCTTATTTAACTGAGTCAAGTTCACAGAAATACAAGGAACTTGAGGGAAACCAACCCACAAAATGAAAAGCTGAAATTAAATTCTGATAAATAACAAATAATACACATTGATGGGAAGATTAAGCCTACTGAGGTGTCTCACCAGGTTCTAAATAAACCTGTAAAGTCATCAGTGTCTTCAGTTTCACAACCAACTGCTGTCAAAAAAACCCGTAACACGATGATGTGGAAATGTGGGATAGAAAACGCAGGAGTTGTAACTATTAAGCAAATCATGGCACAGTGCCATCTAGAATAGCACGCTGAGTAGCAAGTGCTGCATTTCGAAAAAATACCTTTAGATTATCACAGACAGGAAGACG